AGGAGCAAAACAAGATGTCTAATATATAATCTGCAAGAGATAAAGAAATTTGGACTGGGAATTTTTTTCATTACAAACTGCAATAGGCCGAATTTGTGACGGTTGGGCGATTGTAAAAAATTCCACAACTCAGAGTGAAAATGTAGCTAAATTATGAACCAAGCAAGCAATGGCTGAGCATGTTTGTTTGTTTTGTTTTGATTCATGATACTAAATTCTGCTTGTGCCCCACCCCACCAAAAAAAAAAAAAATATTAATGGCTATGCCACAGTCACTAAATGTCAATTTTATTTATAGATCAAGTGAGAAGTAACAAATAGAGATGTACAATTTCTGTATAGTAAGTATACAGATTTTTCTTTTACTGCTCCTCCTCTTTTTCCACCTCCCATGGATTTACACCACTCCCTGTTAGAAATGTGTCATTAAAGGGTCCTGTTTAACCTTGCACTGCAGAGAGCTCCAGGAGTAAGCATTTCCCAAGTAAGTGGGTTAACCCCATAAGAACAGGCATTATGTTGCAAGGATAGGGACTGCCAAAAATTGGGTACATTGACGTGGTGGCAGGTTTATGCAATGTATGATAATAAACAGTCAATAAATCCCGTAAGTCAAGAGTTTAAAAAAATACTACATTTTGTGAGCTTAGAGGTTGGTGTTTAGTGAGTGACCTAGATCTTGTATGGTTAAGATATAATACTGTTCCTCCTCTTTTTCCCACTATATGTTATTTTTTCCCCCCACTTGATCTGTGAACCAATAGTGGAAAATTAACATTTCAGTGTAAGGTAAAATATATAATTTATTTTATTTCTGAAATATTTTACCAGGATGAATACATTGAGATTTCTTTCATTTTTAAGTACTGTATGTCCTGTGGCCACAAATTTATTTTTCAAGACAAGAATGGTCCAATTTTTGCACCTTTTGGTTCATCCAATTCATCTTCCCCAAATGTTTTTCGGTTGATAAAATTTGGCAAACCTCCAAATGGCAAAAATTTGGCTGTCGTAAAAATTAAAAAAAAAAAAAATTATATATATATATATATATATATATATATATATATATATATATATATATATATATATATATATATATATATATATATATATATATATATATATTTGGCATACGTAATTAAGCCCAAAACTATTTTTCTTACATGCACAAGCCTAATGGAAATTTAACAATACCCTTTATTCATGTCTTAGGACACATGACTACAAGTAATATCACAAGTATTTATTTTTTACATAAACATTTCATCCGTTAGATCAAATAAACTTAATGTTATGCCCCGTTTGAATCCACTGCCTTACTACAAGTGTGTTTTCAGTCTGTCTACATGGCGGGTGGCAAGAACATATAAGCCATATAAGCACCTGCCACTGGCATGAAAACCATGAACTGGGAGAAACAGTCATGCATATGGTCAAGATAAAATATTAATTAGGAAAAACAATCAAACATACAGTGAAGAAAATGCTCTACATTCAGAGGGAAATAGAACAAATTTGCTTTTAATTCTTCTACAATGCATTCATCTAAAATATTAACTTTCTATTCAGCTGTGTGCTTTTAAAATGTCAAGTAGTGTTTCTATGATAAATAATTATATATATATATATATATATATATATATATATATATATATATATATATATATATATATATAAATAATATTTCTGTATCCTCATCTTTCATCATCTTTTAGACTTTCTATCTACCGTGTTCAATAATATCTGTTGTCCATTCTAGTTTAATTTCTCGATGGCTAGAATTAGCACAAAAAAGACAAATAAACTTATTTAAGAATTAATCAACACTTTTTTTTATGGTGCAAAAAAAAATAAAAAAAAATAAAGTGTTTTAAGAAAGCCCAATAAAATAAAGAAAAGAGGTTTATAAAAATTATTATTTAAAAGTCTGAGATTTATAGAAAAATCTGTGCTTAAAGCTAAATGTAATACATTTATACCAGCCTAAATATGTATTCAAGGTTATTAATTAAATTCTGAATTCCAATGTCTGGATTAGCATAAATGTCCACCAAATTTTAAGCTGTCTTCATTGCAATTGAATGTCTGAAATCTGAATACGAATGCTGAATATCTGGGTTACTGTTCCCCTGATTAAAATAATAAAATGTCCACCATATTTGTGATTATTAAATCAATTACAAATCAGGATGAAATTTGTTAGTTGGTCTGAATTGTGAGGATACGAACCACGTGTCCTTCATGAACAATCATTGATAGTGATGACCAGTCTAAAACTGCTGACATAGACAAACAAAACAATCATCTGTAATATTTCAATGGTTCTAAATCACAATTTTTCTCCCCTTTTTCTGAGCTACTTTTTACCTTCTGAATCAGAAGTGTGTTATCTACCTAAACTTTATCAGTGGTTTTAAGTAATATAATATGTCTTACAATACCTGGCATGTCACTTCACAGCATGGAACACCTTAGGGGGCTAAAAACAAATTCTAAAAAAGAAAAAAAAAAACTCTTTGAATGTGTTTTTGTTGTTTTTTCAAATGGGGCCTTAGAAGCTGTGAAAAGATTCATGTTAAGTGTTTTCAACCGGAAGGCTGAAGGGTAATTAGTGGATAGAATTACAGTAGAACTCTGATATAATGATGATTGTTTATAGTAAAATGTATGGCTCACTTACTCTCAGTGATCACTGAGCAATTATCCAACTGCTTCCTTCTTTACAGAACCGTTCTGTATAAAAACACTGCAATGCTATTTAATACAGTGATTGATAGCAACTTATGTATTAGAAATACGGAAAGCACTTAACAGATTCTTTGATTTGCAATTTTTTTTTTTTTTTTTTAAACTCATCATTATCTTTTCATAACTGACTGTGTGTTCAGTTCAGCTATGTATTGTGAAAGTAAAAGAACTGGATAAGAAATATGGATGTTGCATTCTGAGAATTTGAATTATTCTGGAATGTTATTACTGGGAGATATATTTCAAATTTTTTACATGAATTTCAGTCTTCAAATATTATTTTCTATATTAAATTTGTAGGACGCCTCTTGTGCATTGGTTTAGTCAGTATAATATAATGCAACATAATATAATTAAAAGATAACATTAACAAATGTATATTAAAGTTTATTTTTAGGACATTTATACTCAATTGAGGCACTAGCTCCAATACTCTCAGCACCTGTTCAATCCTCAGTATTTTATGTTTTATTCCTAGCGGAGTCAATTTATCATATGATAAAATGAGTACCAATAATTTCAGCACTGAAAGCATTATAAACCCCAGAATGTACATTAGAGTTACTCATGTAATCCGTTGTTCTAATAAAATACTTTAACTTAGTTACAATGACTAGGTATCTACTCTTGTCCTTCGTTGTTGAGATGATATGTGAATTCAGGACAAAGATGGATGTGCTACAAGGTAGCAGGCAATTAGTGTGCTGAAGCATGGGTCCATCAATAAAAGGGATGATCCCACCTGTAATTAGTAACAGGTGACATGGAAATTTGAAACAGTTAGGGCTTATGATAGAAGAACTTTCGGCATAAGACCTTTGATTTCTGAAGATACTTTAATCTTCATCCTCCTCATGCACAACATAATAGTACTGAACATGGTTAATGTTCATAAGTTTGGTGCAATAACCATTTGTTATGCCAGCCGCTTGGGAATGCACCAAGTGTCGGGGTGCCACGGCAGACACTGTCTCTGGTGGTGGTGCTCACTTACGGCATGTTAACTGACACCAGTTGCTGTGCATCAGAGCCATTTAAAGGCTCCACCTATGAGTATAATGAGGACGTGGCTGTGTCATCATGTGTACATCGTGCACGCATGTTCCAACATCATGTGATCGACACTGGCGAATCACAGCTTTCTTAGGACCATTTGAGCTTAGTTGGGCAGTTGTTCTGTGCCCTGTCATTGTTTCCATTCTGGTAATCCAAGAGTTTTTTTTGTACTTTTGATTCTGCTGTGTTTTTTACTTTTGGTTTGTACCTGGACTATTCTGACTTCTATTCTCCTTGACCTTATGACTTGTCTTACCGTTTATCTCCTCTCTGTTCTCCTGACCATGGCTTGTCCTGTTTATTCTAGGTTTATGTTAAATAGGGCTATTCTAAGGTCTGGTGATATGTTTAGGGCTTTTTGGTAGTTTGATATTTGGCTACTTGGGTTCTGCGTGCTGGGGATCAGACTATCCTGATACCATTAAAGTTCTATTTTTAGTTCTCCAGGTTTATGTATAATGAGAATTTTGAACGCAACATATATTGGAAAGTTAAACACATTCCAAAATTGCATTTGGCAATAATATCCCACTTTACACATTGTCACACAAATGTGTTAGTATTGATGTTGGGGTTACACGAAGGTTTATCACCCATTACATGCAGGTTGATTTCAACCCTCTGATAAAATAATGCATTCATTTAGAGTTGGTTGCCCGTAACTTACAATTGTGAGTTGTAGATGATGGGATGTAGCATTTTATTTTATGGTCTAGAAACACATGGATCTTATTCCCATATGCTGTAGTTAACAGACGTGGATTAAATTATTAAACCATTTGTTTTCCTAAGTCATTAACTTCAGGACCAAGAATGTTAAACAAACCACAATGTGACTATCTCTTAGACGGCACTAGAGAGACCCTAGTTACAATATATATGGCCCCCTAGTGTATCATAAAGAAAGTGCCATCTTTTTTAAACAATGCTCATTAATGTGACGTTGCTTAGCTTTGTACTACAGGTTGTTGAATGTAAACTTTGTAGTGTTTCAACCATGTGGGAAAGTGCCCAAGTACTTTGCGCTCTATTGATCAATCAAGTAATGGCTTCTTATTCTGTTTTATTTGAATTTGACAGATGTTACCATACATTCAATGTAATGCAATGTATTATGTGTAATAAAATTATTCTTTGTTTAACTTTGTGGGTCATATCTAGATTACAATTATTTTAAATGCGCATTTAAAATTTATTTAGCCCATGTGGCCAAAAGGTTGCACAGGATATATATATATATATATATATATATATATATATATATATATATATATATATATATATCCTGTGCAACCTTTTGGCCACATGGGCTAAATAAATAAATACATTTATAATTGTAATCTAGATATATATATATATATATATATATATATATAGAAAGCAAACAAACAGAAGGACCGAAGAAGTTGTAGAATTTTGCTCCTTACTGGTATATGGAGGAGGGCGATGGATGATGGAGGTAAAGAGTGATCAAAAAGCTATCCAAATAAAAAAAGAAGAGATAATACTCACTTTTTGTAGAGCTTAATCCAGCTCTGGTATGAATAGCTTGCAGTGGTATTATCCCAGCTTGTAGGATATGCGGTGAGTCTCCTCTTCGGTCCTTTTCTATTTATGTGTTGCTATAAATTTTATCTTCCCCCTGGTTGTCTGTCACTACACCGAAGAGGAGACTCACCGCATATCCTACAAAATGGGATAATACCGCTAAAAACACTGGCATATTCTAGAGCATGACGAAAAACTCTCTAAAATTATTCCAGAAAAACAGAGTATAATTTTTAGAGGAGCTCCTAATGTTAAATCCATTTTAACTACCAATTTTACCAAAGAACCTAAACCAAGTAGTTCTGTAGCTTTTTTCCCTCAATCTTCAGGCTTTCACAAATGCAAGAATTGTATTGTATGTAAAACAGCTGATCCTACAATGCCACCCAAAATTACACAATTCATCTCAAATAAAACCAAAATCACTTTCAAAATAAAAGAATTTATTACGTGTAACACTAAAAATGTCATCTATTTATTGGAATGCCCGTGTGGCTTCCAATACGTTGGGATGACCACTAGATGTCTGAAAATACGATTAGGTGAGCATTGTAGGAATATAAAAAATGTTTTTTTAAATCACTCTCTATCAAAACATTTTTTAATTCACAATAAAGATCCCAAAATGTTAAAATATATGGGAATAAAGAAATGCTCTTTACCATGGAGAGGAGGAAATATAAAAAATATTTTAGGTAAAACAGAGATGGAATGGGTCTATAAGTTACAGACCCTAATACCAAATGGACTTAATGCAGATTTTGACCTGCACAATTTTTTATAATTAGGTCCCTTTAACTTACATCTCCTCCCCACAAACAACCTTTTATAACCATTATTTTTACTTTACTTTTTTATTCTATTTTATTTTTTTTAATTTTTATTATATTCCTTTATACTCTTATACCTATTATTAATTTCACTTTCAGTTTTAGTTGAGTGCTTTTAAAAACCATTCCCTATAAAATATTAATGTAATTATCAATATTAATTGTTTTTATCATTATTTTTATTCATTCTTATTAATATCAATATCCTTAAGTGGTGTTTTTTGCCTTTTAAAAAGTATATGTATTACTGTGTATTGTTTGTAAAAATAAGAAATGTATTTTTTATAAATATGGGGTCTCTTTTAACTAAAAAACAAGATTCTCAGTTTATATATTACTGTAGAAGTGCCCAGTGACCAGCCGGACTCCATTTCCCATCCAGCACTGCGTCCCTAGCTGGCCACCGGGCACTCCGTTCAAACCAGGAAGTGAGTTGCCGAAAAAATGATCTGCGCATGCGCGCCGCATCCCGATCACGTGATCGGGACCAACTGTTAATAACTCCACTCTAAAGCTTCGTTTTTATAAAATTTATATCCCCTAGGCCTAATTAGGCTTAAACTAATGTGTTAATAATGTTGTAATGTTATTTTGAAATGAATTTAAAATTTTGCTTTTAATCTTGTTTGTGATTGGTGCATTACAATTTGGCGCCATTTTTAAACCTCTGTAAACCTATATATTCAGTTCCTTGCCAGGTGTACTGTTCTTTTACCATTTTGAGAAAACCTTAAAGGTGAAACGCGTAAATGGTTGTAATAAGTGTATTTTAGTCAATAAAAGTTATTTTTGGTTACCCTTCATTATAGGACCCACTTTATACTTATTTTTATTGTACTATATACTCTTTTTATTTATTTCTTAACCCCTGGCATTTTTTAAAACTACTGTATCATTTATTTTATTTTATATTATACTTTTAATATTATATTTTCTACTACTGAAGTGTATCCCGTCCAAAGAAATCCTGAGGTGGGGATAATTCCACCAATGCTGTGGCAACAGAGCAGTACCTGTCTGCTCTATTTTTGTAAGTATAACTTATTTTAACTTATTACTGTGTTGTTCATACTGAGAGCACTATCTGCTGTTTTATATATCTCGTGGACATCCACTATCCAATATTGGAGAGGCGGACCTATCTCCCCAGCATAAACAATACGCACATCCGAGTAAGTCCTAACCTACATCAAAGAAATCTCAAGCCGGAAGGACGGACCAACCGTTTAAGTATATCCGATAGTGGGGATTAAACCACTAAGTGCCTCTTCCCCTAGAGCTGGTTAAAAGCTCCAACAAATGTGAGTGAAATACCTTTCCTTTGAATATATACCATATTTTGGACATACAATATTTCACCATTGGAAGCTTTTTTCTCTTATTTTTGTCTTCACATATATGGACTACCTATCATCATAAGGACGGAGCGACACTTGAGGACTTATATTATATTACTACATACCAGTGAGACTGTTTTAATTTATATTTTTTATTCGGATTAACTTTAATTGTTTTTATCCCTTTTATTCATTTTAGTCAAAGCGCAGCCCTTAACTCCTCTTTTTTTTTTTGTACCTTCTTGTTTCCAAAGGGTTTCGTGAGGGATTCCCTTTTAGGGTTGCTGCTCTTTTGAGTTAGCGCAGACTCTTCCCCTCCTCTATTATATATAGCAAACAAACAGAAGGATGGGAATGCGCCATTAAACAAATTAAGTAAAATAAAAAAGTCCTGGTTGAGGTAGAAATATTAAAATAGAGTCCAGTATAATGAAACTTTGGTCTTATGTTGGTCTCTGAAGTTGTAGAATTTTGCTCCTTACTGGTATATGGAGGAGGGCGATGGATGATGGAGGTAAAGAGTGATCAAAAAGGTATCCAAATAAAAAAAAGAAGAGATAATACTCACCTTTTTGTAGAGCTTAATCCAGCTCTGGTATGAATAGCTTGCAGTGGTATTATCCCAGCTTGTAGGATATGCGGTGAGTCTCCTCTTCGGTCCTTTTCTATTTATGTGTTGCTATAATTGTTCCTTTTATTTATTTTTTTTATCCTTTTTATGCAAAAATGCTTATTTACAACTAAAATGTTTTTTGCCACCTCCAATATGGCCGCTGCTATGTTTTTTACATAGCTTTATGGAGTCCATTCCCCTACCAATATGGCCGCTGCGCCCATTTCCTTTTTACCTAGCCGTTTTCCGGCCACTCCCCCTTCCTCTCCCCTCCTATCCCCTCCGGTCCTCGGCCACTCCCCTCTTTTGAGCCTATCATGTGGCTCCACAATTCTCCCGGAAGTAAGCTTGGGCATGAAGTTTATGATACAACTACATGCCCCAGCATACCGAGCGACCGGAAGTGACGTCGCGCTTATGACGCACGCCACATGATTCAGTTAATAGTAAGTAAATTCTTTCTATAATCACCTCATTTTTACACTATAATTATATATTCCATTTCCTATTAGTTATATCTATGTATTTACAAAGGTTTATAGCTGTTATTTGTGAGTAATCACAATCTGCTCTGTGATTGGTCAGAGCAGTTTTGGCACTATTTTCAAAGTTGTCCCAAGCCTATATATACCCCAACTAGCCAGGTTGACATGTTTTTAATCCATTGATAAAGCCTATATTGGTGAAACGTGTTTGGATATTGTACGTTTTTTTAATTACTGTTAATAAATAGCTTTTGGTCATTTTATTCTTTTGCACCATTATCTTTTATTTATTTTACTTTTTATTATAATCCTGAGGTGGGGATTATACCACCCGTGCCTATACCATAGAGCAGCTAGCCTGCCCTATACATTGTGAGTATATTTTATTATATTTTATATACCAGCATTATTTTACTGAGAGCACTATTGCTGTTTTATTATCTTCTCCCTGAGCTCCTGTTACCATCTTAAATAATTATTTCAAAGAACGCTCACCACATATCCCAGAGGCGGGGATCATACCGCTGTATGCCTACTACACTAGAGCTAGTATAAGCTCTATTAAATGTGAGTATATCTACTATATTTTAATACTTTTTATCCACTTTTGGAACATACTGCACCATCACTGTTTTTCGTTTTATCTTCCCCCTGGTTGTCTGTCACTACACCGAAGAGGAGACTCACCGCATATCCTACAAGCTGGGATAATACCGCTGCAAGCTATTCATACCAGAGCTGGATTAAGCTCTACAAAAAGTGAGTATTATCTCTTCTTTTTTTATTTGGATACCTTTTGGATCACTCTTTACCACCATCATTTCCATCATCCATCGCCCTCCTCCATATACCAGTAAGGAGCAAAATTCTACAACTTCAGAGACCAACATAAGACCAAAGTTTCATTATACTGGACTCTATTTTAATATTTCTACCTCAACCAGGACTTTTTTATTTTACTTAATTTGTTTACTGGCGCAGTCCCATCCTTCTGTTTGTTTGCTTTCCGTATTTATCTCAAGGACACTTGAGGGAGTCCTTGTTTGGGATTGCTGCCTTTTGTATCTCTTTCTGATATATTAGTGCTGACTATTCTCTGATATATATATATTTCCTTTGCTCCTTCTCTTTTCTTCTTCTATTGGCTACTTTTTCTCACTTGATCTGTGAATCAAATGGCAAGAAAATGCATCTATTAGTGTACAAAAAAGAAATAATAAAACTATATATATATATATATATATATATATAAATATACACACACACACACACACACACACACACACACACATATATATATATATACACACACACACACACACACACACACACACACACACACCAGTCAAGCCTTAAGACTTGCTTTTCCCACAGAAATCTCACTTTAACAGTGCTCTCACTACTGCAAGGGATTCTGGGTATACATATGCAAATGAGGTCAACAAAGAACCACATTGTTGCCTCATAATTCCACTCTTTTTTCCCCACCACAACTCTTTAGGTA